GGGGGGGGGGGCAGGAGCAGGAGCAGGAACGAGTAGAGAGTTGTGCTGTTGGTTATAGATGAAGAGACAACGTGCATTGAGGAGGATGATAAGGGGAAGGATCAACAAACCAGCATTCAGATCAGGATCGGGAATGTACAGTGGGTGAATTCATTGTTGAGAGATGCATTTATATCATTGCGAAACCACCTATATCACCTATAACTTGTCGGGTCCCCAGAGGCAGCTGGCCGCCTTCATCGCTTGCCTCTTTCTCATCGTCAGGGAGGAAGATGTACACCTTTCGTCGTCCACTTGTATGCTGCTGAGAGCTCCTGGTAGTCCTTGTTCTGCTCCCTGCTCCCTGCTCCCTAATCCTGCTGCTCCCTGCTCCTGCTGCTCCCTGCCCCCTGCTCGTGCTGCTCCTGCTACTCTTCCTCGTTCGTGTGCTCGTTGCCCTCATCTTGAAACGAGGGCGCTCACAGTGTTCTATCAGGACGCACGCTTGTCACTGTCGCGCTGCTGGCCTGCTCCTGGGCTATCGGCGTCTGCTGTGCGTCTCATACAGCCTGCATCATGATCAAGAGAACGAGCGCGCAAGAGAGACGCTTGTCCTCCGGTTACGCTCATGAGCATGCGCGTTGTCATCAGGCTGCCTCTCCTTACTCCTTCACTGCAGACACCGTCGTCGAGTCCTTGTCAACACTAAGACAAGAAGTTCGTCTCCTCACGAGTGTTTGGGTTTGACGACGACTTGCGGCAGAGGGATGGAAGCGATGTGAAACAGATCCCTTGTGTCGATGCCAGCCAGCTCTCCTACGAGACATGGTGGAAAGAGTACATGTTTGCGAACAAGTGGGAGACGGAGTGCTTTGGTTATGAGCTGACTGTTGATAAGGCCTGTTATCATCAGCGGTATCACAGCTGACTGGGGCAGTAGAGGATGGGTCAGGCCATGCGAGACGTGCAATCGAAGTAGAAAGGTTGGAAGAGAAACGCCGAGGAGCTGACGACATTCTTCTCTCAGTTGACTGCAACATGTCAAGGCCCGACCTTGAGCTGCTGGAGAAGATGTTTGGAGAGGAAAGGACTTGCTCTCCTGACAAAAGGTCTGATAATTTGCGATCAGGATGATGTCTCTGTTGCGTACTGCGCAGAAAAGTATTTTTCTGACCAGGTCTTGACTTGTCGATGGACCCACTCGGTCTGACCTCTGCAGAAGAGGAGAGAAGACATGAAGCTGAAGGATTTTCTCAAGGAATGGAAGGAGGTAGCTTCTGCCCAAGGTAATGCAGCAGCATCAGTCCTGTTTCGTCACTGGCCCTTCTTGCTTTCAGGCTGCGCTGCTAGCTGTTCTTCGGAGGACCAAGATAGCAGGGGACGGTCGCCGGCCGATGAGCTCGGCGATCTGAGACAAGCACACGGGCAGGTGTGTGGAGGTCTACAAGGGCTGAAGCTCCCCTACTGCAAGGACTGGCACATGGCCCGCCTGCACCGGGCAGCAACGGTGAGTCAGGGCGCTAGCAAGAGACGTCGAGCATGTAGGACGGGTCTTGACCTGCTGCCCGGCAGCCTACCAGCTCCCATCGTACTTCTCCGAGGATTGGTTGAACGACTACTGGGACGGGTACCCTGCCCTCGGGGATGACTACCGGTTCTGCTACCTGGGGCCCAGGGGGACCTGGACGCCGCTGCACCGAGTGCGTGATGTGCCTCCTCTGCCTTTGAGAGACTTCGATCCTGCTTGCAGTGTCCTGCTACATCACTTCGCTCCATCCTCCTCCTCCCCTCCCCTCTCCTCCCCTCTCTCCCTCCCTATCCCTCCCCTCCTCTCCTCTCCTCTCCTCTCCTCTCCTCTCCTCTCCTCTCCTCTCCCCTCCCCTCCCCTCCCCTCCCCTCTCCTCTTCTAATCCCTCCTCTCCTCCTCTCTCCTCTCCTTTCCCCTCTCCCTCTCCCCTCCCCTCCCCTCCTCTCCTCATCCGTGTGGCTGGATGGTGCTTGGCCGTAGATCTGACAAGCCATGGCAGGACGTGTTGCGGTCCTACAGCTGGTCCGCCAACATCGTCGGGCGGAAACTTTGGATCCTCTATTCCCCGTCGCAGGAGGAGTTTCTGAAGAACAGGAGGGGGGACTTGGTATGGGACGTGCTCAACGACGTTGATCGCAACGAGTTCCCTCAGTTCGACAAGGCGCAAGCGATCTACGTGGTGCAGGTGATGATATGGTGTTGTAATCGCAGCAGCTGATGAGATGATTGTGAGAAAGGAAATAGAGATGTTTGTGATGATAAAGCTGTTCTTGCAGTGCTGCTGTTGTGTGTTTTGGTTTTTGCCCCCACACCCCACGTGTATTTTTCGCATCATATTGCTGTGATATTTTGCTGTGCTCAAAATCCTGTGTATGACCTTATGTTCTCATAAGAGTTTCTGTCAATCTCTCAACAAAGCTGCTGCTGCTGCTGCTGCTGCTGATGATGATGATGATGATGATGATGATGATGATGATGATGATGATGATGATGATGATGATGATGATGATGATGATGATGATGACAAACCCTCTCGACCATGGTGTTCTTTTCAGCTAGTTCTCTGATGTGCCGTAGCGAGCTGGAGAGGCAATCTTCGTGCCGAGCGGGTGGCTGCATCAGGTAACACGACAAGTCCAAGTGAAATGAGTGCGACAATGACGATGGTGGTGGTGGTGGTGGTTGTCGCCGATGCCGATGCCGATGCCACTGCTATAGAGATGCTCTTGCTGATGACAGTGACAGTGACAGTGACAGTGATGGTGATGGTGATTGTGATGGTGATGGTGATGGTGATGGTGATGGTGATGGCGACGTAGCAGCAGCTGCTGCTGCTGCTGTTGCTTCCATCGGCCATGTCAATGATGACGGGGCTCATTTCCGATCTCCCCCAGGTTGTCAATCTCGTAGATTGTCTTTCGATCAACCACAACTGGATCAACTCCTGCAACATCCAAGAGGCGACTCGTCAAATGATCATCGACCATCAGTGATGACTCCCTCCTCCCTCCCTCCCTCCCTCCCCTCCCTCCCTCCCTCCCTCCCCTCCC